CGACCATTGAGAGAGATACACAAAAAGGTCCCCCAGACCAATGACAAAGGACCAAAGATCACAGACACCCACCCGCCCATCCACACACACACACACACACACACAGACAGACAGACAGACAGACACACACAGACAGACAGACAGACAGACAGACAGACAGACAGACAGACAGACAGACAGACAGACAGACAGACACACACACACACACACACATTGTGAGGTTGGGCGGTAGAAGCGTTCGGGAGAGAGATTGCAGGTGCGGCGGCCAGCCATATCGTAGAAGTACGAAAACCCTGCCGGGTTATCCTGCGCCATCGAGCAAGCACACGCAGCGTGAATGGCCTTGTTCTTCTCACGCACGGAAAGCAGACAGACAAATAGACAAAGAGACAGATAGACAGACAGACACACACACACACACACACACACACACACACACACACACACACACACACAGAGGCGCAACGCACCTGTGGGAGGAAGGCTGGCTTGAACGGGGAAAAGTCCGCGAGCATGACCCAGTTCCAGCTGTTGAGGAGAACGTTCTCAATCTTGATGTCGCCATGGCAGAGGTTGGCAGCATGCACGTCCTTCAGGGCAACGATGAGCTGGTACGCGATCCACAGCTTCTCTGCGTGCGACAGGATCGGGCGCATGGTCATGCGGTCATACAGGCTGGCAAACACAAACGGCCGTACGAGCAGCACCGTCTTCTGCGTGTCCAGCGGTGTGTCGTACGTAATGGCGTGCACGTTGCCTGCAAGCGCTGTTCGCACTGCGTCCAGCTGCTTCTGGTGGGTGGAGATGTCGATGCTGGACTTGGAGTGCTTGGCAAACACCTTCACCACCCGGTATGTCCTCTGCTTGTGGCTCACACGGGCCGTCTATGGGTTTCACAGCCGTGGTCCGGGGAGAGAGGGAGAGGTGGGGGAGATGGGAGGGGAGGAAAGAACATGGCAGCGTGGCGTGCGGACGTGCATCAGGTGGATGTGCATGAGGTAGGTGTGCCGTAGGCGTGAGGTGAACAATGGTACGCACTTGCAAAACGTTGTTTTCAGTGCACAAACCACGAAACAAGCAGCAAGCAGCAAACGACCAGCAGCGAGCAGCAAGCAGTCGCCACCATGCCTCGCCGTTTGGTGTGGTGTCTGGACGCACCTTGAGGAAGCGATTGCTCTGCAGGACTTTGTCAAACTTGTCATCGGCCAAGTCATTGATGTATGTTTCAATCGGCAGCACCTGGTTTTTGTGTCACACGGAGCAAGACAAGCAAGCAAGCAAAGCAAGTGAGGCTGCATGGAAGAAAGAAAAGAAACCACAATGAAAGAGCGGCCATGGCAGCACAGTCACACAGTCACACAGTCACACACACACACACACACACATGTCAAGCAGGCACTGCACCACCTGCGAAGGTGCTGTCGTGATGAGGTTTCCCATGACAAGAGAGTTGTTGTTTGGTTGGAAAGGTGGACGTGGTGAACAGTCGTCTTGGCTGGCTCTGTGGTGGGTGTTTGGATTCTCAATCACTACTGTTTGTGTTGTTCATTTCCGCAAATCCCCAACAAAAACAAGAAAACACGAATAAAATTAGAACACCGTTTCTTCGCCATATTTTCCACATAATTTTCCTAGGCAACTTGGCGGGAAGAATCCAAACAGTTTGCTGTGTGCATGTTTGTGCACGCCAACCACGATGGCTGCAGCACTCACCCTCCCTCATCAAAGCAAGCAACTGCGCCAGCAAACAGGCACAGCAGGAGCGCCATCAGGATGATGGTCGTCACCATTTGGCGCGAAACTTTCAAACCCTTCTCCCTATGTTTGGAGTAGCGTGGGTGTACAACCCAGAGGTGTTGTAACGTTCACTTGTTGCTCGCACACACACTCTCTCTCACTCACTCTCTCACTCACACACACTCGCCATCTCCATCCTCGCCCGCCACATCGAGCACCACCACGCACCCGCGCCGCAAGCATGGCCACAGCAGACACCACCACCACCACCACCACCACCACCACCACAACGAAAGAGCAGCAGACGTTGGCCACGCGCGCGCTGTTTGGAGGGCGGTTGCCCTGGGACGAACCGAGCAGCGAAGATGATGCGGCAGTTGCGCGCCTTCCGAAACTGCCCAAGCTCACCATCGACGACGACGATGAGCGCAAACACGACAGCAGCAGTCGCGGTGCCGCCACGACCACGGCCAGCAGTCAAGACTTGGCGCAGCTTGGTGATGCGAACAGCAATGGTGTTGTTGCGGACAGCGCCATCTCCGCACCTCGCCGCCGTCGCAAGCGCAAGGGCGCACCGCGAGAAAAGCGCGCCAACCCAGAGCCCGCCTCAACTTACACCGTCGCGACAACAACGACCAGCAGCAGCAGTGGCAGGAGCATACCTGCACCCGTCAAGATGACGTGCAATCTCCCTTCCTGTCGTCGCAGCCAGTGGATCATTGGCGAGGCTGACCTCAAGGCCATTTCGCGCTCAATGACTCGAGAGCGGGTGAAGGATTACTACTGTTGGTACCATCCGTCTCTGGACGTGCGCGCCTCATGTAAGGGCGCCCTCGCCGACGTAAAGCGCTCTACTCCAGGGTGCCGGCGCAGCCTCTTCTGCTGGAAACTCCACAGGCACCCGGGCAGGTGTGTGAATGTGTGTGCGAGTGGTGTTTGTTTGTTTGTTTGCTTGTTTGTGCGTGTGTGTGTGTGCTGTGTGTGTGTGTGTGTGCTCTGTGTGTGTGTGTGCTGTGTGTGTGTGTGTGTGTGCTGTGTGTGTGTTTGTGTGCTGTGTGCGTGCGTGCGTGTGTGTGTGCGTGTCATTGTTGCTGTGCGCGCGGGACTCGCAATCTTTGGCCAATGCACAGTGCAATGTCGCCACGTCTCATTGTGCTGTCTTGATGGTACTCATTTGTGCAGGTGCAGCGAAAGTCTGAATCAGCGCATTGTAGGCATGTTTGCCAAGACCAAAGAGGAGCAATGTAAGCCTGCCTGTTTGTTTGCACGTCGGTGGTTTTCATGCAAGCGAACACCAGCGCACTTGCACACAAGCCATCATCAGCACACACACACACACACCACATACTCACATACACATACTCACATACACATACTCACATACACATACTCACACACACGCTCACACACACACACACACGCTCACACACTCACACACACACCCAATTCACACACACATACGCAGTGAAGCTGTTGTCTCAATACCTGCAAGTGAACATCTCTTCGGAGTTTGACAAGGAGAACATGACATTCAACTTGAAGGATGCAACACCTGACGCCAAGCCAAAGGCACAGCGACGGACCAGGAAGAAGACCCACAGCACACGAGCAAGGCGCGTGCGCCGCAAGCTTGACGTCATCAGTTCACCCAACAGGCAAGGAGAGCAGCAACTGGAGCCTCAACCAAGGCCAGCAGTGTACTCCGCAAAAGAGGCAGCGGCCGCACTCATGGGCAGCACCACCGAGTTTCGGAATGGGACAGGCAACGCAATTGCTTCCCCACCTACAACTGCATCGACCAACGCAACGGCCAGCGCCCATCTGCAAGCACGACCGAGAACGCCTATGTCCCAGATCCTGGAGCCCTCCAATGTGCTGGGCTTGAGCACGCCGCCGCCCTTGCCGTCCTATAGTATGCAGTACCGCGGTACTCCCGGCAACTACACGCATCTGCTCTCGTCCCAGTCCCCGCTTTCGCAGTCGTTTGCCGCCAGCACAAGCCTTGACACCTCCACCCTTCAAGTGCGTGGTATGATGTGTTTGTTCTTCGCACTTTGATGAGATCAGTGTCTGCAAAATGCGCACACAGGTTCAATACGATCAACATGCACACACGCTCCGGCGCGCGCGCACACACACACACACACATGCACATGCACACGCACACATGAACACATGAACACATGAAGACATCAACACGCACACACCTGAACAAATTAACACACACACACACATTTACACAGAAACACACACTAACACACACACAACCACTCGGTTTTTTTTTTTTTTTTTGCATTTACAGCATCACGTGTTGTATCGGTCACCATTTGCATCGCCCTCAATGCCTGGCATGATACCTGGTGTGGACCTGAGCGGGCTGTCACCTCTGCTTGGACAGCACCCGCTGCATAGCACCGTTATCAATCCGGGCGTGATCCAGTCCCCACCATGGCCGCGCCCCTTGTTCGAGTCGCCCATCGCCCCTCCGCCTCCAGTTCACCTCCCTGCTCGCTCCACGCCGCCCTGGCTGCCGCTTCCCTCTCCACATCCCGCACCACAACAACGGCCCATGGGCGCAGACACCCCGGCGTCTCCGTTTCGTCGCCTTGCCTGGGCGTCGCCCGAACATCTCCTCTCCACAGCAGGTGCTTGTGTGTGTGTGTGTGTGTGTGTGTGTGTGTGTGTGTGTGTGTGTGTGTGTGTGTGTGTGTGTGTCGTCGTGTGTGTGTGTGTGTCGTGTGTGTGTGTGTGTGTGTGTGTGTGTGTGTGTGTGTGT